TCCAAGAACAGCCATGCTGACCCCGACCGCCATTTCCCGCTGCGCTGGGTTTTCTCTTTTGAATATTCCGCTTCTGCGGCAATTGGCCTCTGCGGCAATTTGACAAGAGGCTTGAGTCCCGAGATCAAAGAAGGCAGAAGAGGGGGAGGGGGCTCTGCTTTCGAGCCCCCCCCCCCCCTTGGAATCAACTCTCCACCCTTAACTCCGTACAGTCGTGGGTCTTCAGAGCTCTCTGCCCCCTCCCCTCAACGGGAAGGCCTAGACCGCCGCAAAGGTCCAGAAATGACGCAGAGGGGTCGGAGAGGAAGGGCTGCCTGCTGCATTCGAACGCTATGGGGCACGCGGCGAAAACCTGCAGGGACCACAGGCCAATATCACTCACATGGGCCACGAGAAACAGAAGTACCACCAAGGGCGCGCGTGTGACATGGCCTTGGTTCCTTCTCTGCACTCGGCCAGTGGAGTAGAGTTGCAGAGGCCATTCAGAGCAATCAATCACTGGGAGGGAATGGACAAGAAGCATTTTTTTGATCAAATTTTATTCATGTTTTTGCTAAGAGCCCGTCTGCTGGCGGGTCGTTTTGGAGTGCACTCACTCGCTTTTCCCCACTTCTCTCGCCCCTCTCCACTCTCTGCGCCATGCTCCCGTCGTCTTTGGAGACCCGAGAACTCTGGTCCCTATTTTCGTACCCTTCGCAGTCAGCATCCCCCAGCCAGCCTTCCTAGGCCGTTTGTGTTTTTCGAGGTTGCCCTCGGGGTATGATGTCCCTTCTCTCTGCCCGGCCCATACAAGTACACACTACCATTGGGGGGTCTCTCGCACCCCCCGACATGAATTTTCGGAATGCTACCGACATCCGACGAAGAAAAAAAAAGCGATAAAATAGAACCGTGGTATCATATGAATAAGCAACGCCGCCGTAATGTTGAGGTCGTTATGCCTCTTTTCTGTAGTGTCCTCCCGTTGGATTATGGGATAAGTGACCGTGAATGATGTGTCGCCTCGCAATGCATTGGGGTGAATGTACAGGGCAGGTGGGGAAGAAGTGCCCGTTTCGTTATGTGCAGTCGGTGTGATCGGTGATTACCAACCCTTGGAGTGATAGCCTCCGTGGGTCTCCTTTTGGAAGTACTGGTTGTTGGGGTTGGCGTCTTCGCCCTTGTTCATGTATGCCTTCTCGGGATACTGCTTGAGGTTGGCAACGTCATGGGAGGTGTGGCGACGCTTGAGGACCGCGTTGGCGGTGGAGCTCTTCTGCTGACGCTCCCAGAGCAGGTTGCGACGCAGAGACTCTGTCAGTTCGGTGGCCAGCATGTTGCGGCGCGTGGTTCGGGGCGACAGTGCGGCTTGGGCCTGGAGGTGGCTGTGGCTGGCAACGGTCGCGATGGGCTGGGCAGTGGAGCGAGGAATCTCGTTGATGGGCTTGAGAGGCGAAGAGCGGACACCCTTCTTCATCATGAGAGGGGCCTCGTCCGAGTCGTTGGGCGAGCCGGCCACAGCGTGCGTCTGTGAAAGACGCGACGCACGTGGCAGCGCCGAAGTCGACTGCGAAGCAATGTTGCTCAGCTTGGTTGCGCGGTCGTTCTGGGCGAACATGACAGAGATGAGAGAGCGGCGCGAAGTGAGGTTGACCTTGGAGTCGACACGCTGGAAGAGGGTCTTGTCGTCCATGCTGGAACGGCCGCTGTCTTCGATCGAGTCCTCCCAGTCGGAGGAGTCGTCGTCGTCATCAATGGCACTCTCGTCAACGTAGTCGGTGTCCGAGTCATCGGCCACGGCGCTGTCGTTGTCAATGGTGCGGGTGACGAGCTGAGCGCTGAACGAGGCCTGCTTTTTCTGAGGGTTGAGGAGGCCGTTGGGGCGGGGTGAGGCGAGTGCGCTCTTGACAGAGCTGTCCTCCTCAGAGGAGCCACCGAGCGCGAACATCTTGCGCTTGACCTGGGGGGCGGGGACAGCGCGGGTGTTCTTGGGGCTGTCCTGCTCGCTGCTGGAGCAAGAGCCGCCCATGACGAAGACAGGTTGCTTCTTGGCCATGACGTTCTTGGCCGCAGGCTCGGATGTGGGCTCAGGGAGAAGGGTGGCGGGAATGCTGCGGGGAGTCTCCATGATGGTGCGGGTCAGCGAGCCCTGGGAAGGAGAGAAGCCGCGGACGACGGTGGTGCGGGAGTTGAGCTCAGGGAACGCGGGCTCCTGGGATGGCTCCTGGTCGCCCTCAGAGGACTTGGAGAGCGACTCGGTAGTGGTAGATCCGGAGCGCTCGAAGCTGGGAATGGACGAGGGCGACGCCTTTTTGGCGGCCAGGTAGGGAGAGGCGATGAAGGGAAGAGGGGCGGAGAGTGGCTCCTTCTCGTTGATGATGGAAACGACAATCTTCTCGAAGGTCGGCGGTGATGTGACGCTCGCGACCCCGGCTGCGGCTGCTGGCACACGAGTCTTGCCTCTGTATCCTGGGGCGGACAATGTCGAGGCCGGACTCTTCGGAAAAGTCAACGGCTTCCTCGTCCATGACGGAGTCGAGGCTGCCAGAGAGCTGAGGAATGTCGGGTATCCTGGCGTCGGCGGTGATCTCGCGGGGAAGGCTGGTGGCAGTGAAGGCGGGAGTCTGCTCGTCTGTCGCGCAGCAGAAGGTCTCGCGGTTCCAGAGACGCCAGCTGATGTTCTCTAGCCTGCGACCCTGCTCGAGGGACTCTGCGCAGCGGGCAAAGACTTTGGGGACGCCATGTCAGTAAAAGGGAGGCGAGGTTGTGGGCGGAAAGGCCTCCCAGCAGGCGACTTACCAGTCCACATGCTATAGAGATTCTGTGGGTTAGATGTGTCGACCTTGTGCAGAAGGTTGGTGTCCACAGTCAGGACGTGTGCGTTGAGTGGGAAAGGCATGATGTGTCGTGCTGCTCGGGGAATCGAGCAGGCGGGCGGAGACACGTCAGGATATGTGGTTGCGGTGATGCAGGCGGCGAGAGCGCGTGGTGATACTATGGTGGAAGTTGAAATTGTATTCAAATACGAAGGTCGTCGACACCGGTGGCGGGATGAGAATCGTAAGTGTACGTTCAAAGATTCGCTGCTCTCAGTTGAGGTGATGAGGTGAAAGGGTCGATTCGTCAACGTTGACAGCTTTTGTTGGTATAGGTGGTGATGGAGCGTCGAGGTAGGCAACGATGATTGTGTTGTGAAGATGCAGTGGATACTCGTAAAGTCTGTCGTGCAGTTGAGTGCCGGGTGGAGAGTTGAAGTAGCAGGAGGGAGGAAGTGTGGGAGGTCTGGGGAGTGAGTGGTAATTATTATCGTCGGGTCAGGTCCAGGATCGGAGTCGAGCCGAAGTGGGATACAAGTATGGAATGGCTCTGGTTGTAGACGTTGATGGGGGGGGGCCTGGACGGGGACGGGTGACGGGGGGGCGTGCGTGTGCTGTGTGTAAAGGGTAAAGGGCCGGGGGGGGGAGTCGCGGTGAGTAAATGTATCTCCTCACAACATGGGCATGGGAAGGAAGCAAGGGCCGACAGGTACCTCAACGAAGGACAAGTACCCTTGTACCTCGTGGAGGTACCTAGCGCCGGGGGTGTTGTCGGTGGCTTTCCCAGATCCCAGGCGTCTCCTGCCCACCCCTTCTGAGCCTGGCCCGACGGGGGGGACGAGAGCGCAGGGGGGGGGGGTGGGGAGGGTGTTTGGGAGGGACCCAAGTCAGTCAGTCATGATGGGGTGGGTTCGCCTCCAGGGGCTCAGTCTGTAGGAGAAGTACCGGCCCTCTGACTGTTTGCCGCTTCGGGCAAGTGTCGGGACGAAATGCGAAGGGTACGCTTTCCCTAAAACGGGTGCCCATCCGGGGCATGTGCGGCGCACTGGACCAGATGAGCACCCCAAAGAGGACAAGTTGGTTGTCCTCACATCATGAATCACTAAGCCTATTAGGGGCACTTCTTCACTACCTCTTCTGGTCAGTCTCTTTCTCCCGACCGTCAGAATCATGGACCGTTTTGTCACATGATGGCGAGTCGCCTCACCTCGCCCTGTCCGCCCTGGGACCCCGGCCATCTCCCCGCCCGCCTGATGTCTTTGGCTCTCCACTGTCCACACAACATTCCCCCCCCCCATCGGACGGAAGCATCAGCCAGGCAAGCCAGGGCAGACAGCCGAGGATACGGTAATGCTACACTGCCCCGAAACGTCCTGGCCATCTCCAACCGCCAGCGGCATGTTTCCTGTTCTGGGCTGGTCCGCCGTCTCCAGATCGCCCTGTCACCTCCAGTTCATTGTGTCTTGCCCAGGCCTTATCCCCTTCTGGACTCTGTTTCTCTCCGTTCTCCCGACGGCCTGGCCAGAAGAGGAGCCACTATAGCTGCGTTGCAAGAGGGAGGAGACGAGGTCATGAGGCTCGCAACCAAAACGGAGCCTCACGATCGCTTTCGTCGGCTTTGGTCAGCCAGACTAGGAGAAATGGCATTGGCACTGACTAGTACTGACTGGCACTGACATTGGCACTGGTGGCTCCCTCCCCCGAAGCTCTCAGATCCACGGCTCGTCATTCCTCAACCCCAGAAATTGGCCTTTCGTCTCCGCCATGCCATGGTTGTCTGGATCACGAGTCGAGTCGCTCCGTTCCCTGATTGAATGCACTTTCTGGCCACTCTATCGCCTCCACTCTCTAATGGCCCCCTCGACTGGAATTGGAAGCCCCCGTCGGCTCTGCCAGTCGCTGTGCCTGAACTTTGACTCTACCAGCTGGTCATCTAGGTCACAGGTCACGTTCACTTGCCCCAGGGTCCCCTCTGTGGGCGCCCCTGATCGAATCGAATTCGGCTCTGCGGCCAGCTCTGGCGCCGGGATGTGACGTGCCCTTGGGCGGAGGAGAGAGGGGGAGGGAGGGGGGCTTCGCCTTTGGGGGCCCTTCCCAGTTTGGCTGGGCCACGCCTCTTCCCAGGTGACCTCGTGACAGGGCAGCTTGTGGCTCTGCCCTTTATGCTACTCGTCCTTCCAATTGCTCGCGGTTCCTGATACAAAGGGCTGGCAGACTGTCCAGGCCCCGTGGTCACCGGCAGCCTCTTGGTGATGCCAGTGCTGTCGCCGCCGCGACAAGATCAGATCTGCAGGAATTTTGCGCAGCATCGCATGGATACTGCACTGCGGAGACAGCAAGGAGAAAACTGAAGGCATCAGCGCACCGCAGCAACATCCCGCGCCCTGGCCTGCTCAACGCCCCGTTTCGCACGGTCAACATTGATCACGGGGCCTTTTCGCCCCCCTCGTCGCGCGCATCGCCATCGCCCTTTCGCCAGACAAGGCGACTCACCCACCCCCTCAAATGGGAACTCTGTGATGCGTTGTCATCTTCTCCTCGCTACCACCACGCAAGCTCTCCTCCACCCCCTTCGCTTGATACCCCCGTGCTCACGGGGCTCTCTTCCCCCTGAACAACACACAGGGTCTGCGACACTTCTTAGCGCGCGCCTCCCACGGGTCAGGTCAGGAGAGCAAAGCAATACGGCCGGATGCAGAGAGCTGTCGACGGCTGGCGGTCATCAGGACCGACCTCCAGGTCTCACCTCGGGATAGGCTTTTCCCCTGCTCAACCACTGTGGCTCGAAGAAGCATGAAGCAATAGGGTTAGCTCATTGCCGCGCGAACCCTTGAAACGTTGCAGCCCCCTTCGTCACTATCACTTTCTCTGCCTTGGGGAAAGAGGTAGGGGAAAGGGCTCAGCCAGACGGTATCACAGGCCCAGGCACGTCGCGGGCCAGCGGACGGCAAACGAGTCAGATGCCCTGATTCGGTTTGATTCTTTTCCCGTGCCGTCAAGGACCCCACGGGTGTTGTTGGGCGTGCTCGTTGGAGAGGTCGGCATGTTGGCGTAGACATCGCGATGGCAATGCCTGCCTGGTCAAACCCCCCTTTCCCAGCACCGTCGCAACTGACATGCCCCCACACCCCAACCGTCAAGTCCTTGTTCAGGGAAAGAAAATGGCTGCAACAAGGTCGCCGACCTGGGCCTCGTAGATCCTCCTGCCAGCGAGCTGAACGGCATATCGTCGGTCCCCCCCACATGTCGCCTTCGCTTCTCCCTGTCGCTTTTTTCTTTGGGCCCGAGGCGCATGCGGCGGGCATATGAAAAGAACGCCATGCCATGTCTCTGCAAACCACGACCTGAGCGCGCGCCACGGGAGGTCGAGGGCGCTGCCCCGGGACCAGGAGGGCCTGTCTGTCGATCATTCAGCATTCGGCATGGCAGAATGAGGCGCCCATGAGGCCATCACGGGCTTGCGCCATTACCGGGTTTTGGAACAACTGGGTGACCGGCGCTAAACTAGTCTTTAGGGGGGGTGAGCAGCAGAAAGGTAGGTGGTACTGGGTATCAGATGCCAATGGCTCGGTTGGGCGCCCATGGTCGGGCCCTCTCGCCCGCGCGGGAGCTGGGGTGGCCGTTCCGCGAAGTGAGCCCGTCTCTGAAGCCCCTGGCCGTTGCTCTCCCGGTGCCGTGGGCTGGGACATTACGCGGTGGAGAACCCCTTCGGGGCGAGCGAACTGCTCGGGTGGCAGGAACATTAGGTTTATTATGGGCTCACCACGTCCTGTCCAGATTGGATGGACAAGGCGCCGGGACCATTTCGCACGCGTGTTCCGCTGCTGTGCATCCGAACGTTGCACAATGGTTTTGCCCGGTC